GTTGACATTTGACCTTTTATTTGTTGGTATAAGCTTCATTGACATCACATGGTTTCACATTCCTTACTTTGTACATTGTTGACATTTGGCTTTGAACGTTGTTAAAATTCGCTTTAACGTTTTGGTACTCACCTTTGCCATAAACCTAGCCTCACAGTGTATGGAATATCAAGTTTTATGTAAGTTAACGGCACCTCTCCATGCATTATTCAAATTGAATTTTCAAGAAGTACAACAAAAGAGAAGAAAAAGACGGAAACAATTTCCAATAAAAAAAAAAGTGGTACTAAACTTCAAATTCCAAAAAAAATGAAGTGGTACTGAGTTCTGGTGATTACCGGCAAAATTTCACCTCTGGCCATGCATGTTTTCATGTAATACATAGTAATAACTCCTGAATTTATGCTGTTTGTTTTATACATTCTTGGAATTTGGCTTTACATTTAATGATTCTTTATATTGTGACAACGCATGGACCTACGTTTTTTTACCTTATACATTGTTGACGTTTGGTTTTACATTTCATGATATAATTCACGGTCACAACGCTTGGATATACTTTCGTTAGTTTATACATTGTTTATATTTGGCTTTACATTCTGCGATTTAATATACAATAATATTTTTTTGAAATGTATATAGGATAAGTGTGGGGTAAGATGCCATAATTAAGGGGAAATGTTCCAACTACCTTCTGCTTGAAAGAAGTTGTACAACAGACGTGTAGGGTATTGTTACCATCTGCTGTATGTGATAAAAAAAATCAGTAACATTAGAAAAAGAAATGAATAAATTGTTTCTAACTGGCGTCACACACACTTACCTTATTTGAATTTACATATTATGACACAATACACATTAGTAAATGTAATTTAAAATGTTTTACTTATGGGAAGCAAATTCAATATTTCAGCAAACTTTTAATAAACAGTGTAAGATATAGAAGAATAAACACTGAAACGAATTTTTAATTTTGCATTTTGCTTATTGCAGTGATTTCAAAGTAACAATATATTACAACTGGTACTGAAGCTTGAAGGTAAATTCTGAATAAGCAAATTAAAATATTGCGAATTTACAATCTTTTAACCTTAGCATTGACTGTTTTTTCTGTATTGTAAATATTTTTTCATAATTCCTTGAATTTTTAGAAAAGATCGAAAAATCTTATATTATAAAGGTAGAAACTGTGATAAGTGTTTCAGGCAACACTGCTAAAATAAACATCTAGTTGTAGCAACCTCCTTTAAATGTGTATCAAAACGCTATAAGTACAAATGATGCTTAGAAGATATTTTCAGAGATCTAATTCGTACAGAAAGAGTTGATGTCTGCAAAACTTTGTGTTGCTTTTTTACACTGCCTAAAATTTTATTTATTTTCCTTCTTATATTTTAGTTTGTTGAGTGATCCGTTCCAAACGTGTGTCCTTTGGGTGATGTTTATTTGCAATTAAATTGTTACACGTGCGAAAGCTTTAGTATACTGGGAATCGAAGTGCTGATGTACAAGGGTTAACCAACACAACAGAAGCGAGGTAGACTCCTTTTTAATGATCCTCAGTTTGTGGTTTACATAAACAGGGAGATCTGGCGGGAACCTACCTTAGTTATTATAGTAGTCCTTTCAGACCCTTTTGTTTATTAGATGAAACAGTTGGGGGAAGAATGGCGTTATAATGGACAGGGACTAAAGTACAAAATTCCTAATTCGTTTATTATAGAACATAGATAGTTAAGTTCTCAGTTGAATCAATCAGCTGACCTATCGATCGGCCAAGTGGGGATGCGTCACTTTCATAATTCCTTACACGAACACAGAGCTAGGGTTAAAAAACAACATAATTTATGTAAGGATTTATGTATATCACGAAAAACTCAACAAGAAATACAATAAAATAACTCATAATTTTTATACCTCACTTATTATGAGAGACCGAAAACTATGATCACACTAGAACACCAAATATATAAAAGAATAACCTGTAGAACAAATAATGTAGGTGAAACATTTTTCTTATATATATATTTAAACCAGGGGTGAAATTTCTCAAAAAAAGTAGAGGTACTCAGCTGGGGGAAGTGGACCTGTTTTTTAAAATAAGAAAAAAATCTAGGTGTAAACATACAAAACGACAAAGCAGCTCAAATAAGTTCCGGTGATAGCACAGCCTTAAAAATAAGTTTCGGTACTAAGTACCGGCAGAATTTCACCACTGATCTAAACCATTATTTGACAAAAACTTGTGTGTGTGAGTGTCCGCTAATAACTGGTGAACCGTTGGAACAATTGTCATAAAACCTGTTATAGACTCTTAGTGCCCCTCTAGGAGGGTCACCTCCTGGAGCCACAATGTCTTTCTCATGTCCGTTTATAGCCGGCGAAACCACTGGAACGATTGTCACCAAATCCGACATGAACCCTTTAGGGGTCTCTTGGGGAGTGACACAGTGTGGTCGGCTTCTGGGTCTGACCCCTCTCTGTCTTCCCTGTGCGCTGAACGAAAACGCTAACTATTATATATTATTAGACAAAAGTCTGTATGTATGCGTGTATCCACTTATAACTGGCGAATCGCTGGACCGATTGTCATCAATCATGGCATATACCCGTAGGACTCCCCAAGGAGTGACATAGGGTTCATGATTTTGATGTGCCTCCCCAAGTCACTGTCATAGGCCCTTTGTCTTCTTCGTACGTTGAACGTGTAAGTAAGCTAGTATATATATATAAAGAATCTGGTCAAATTAATTCTAATTATGGGCTATTCTTTATTCAATCCCCAAAATAAAATAGACGTACATCCGCAGGGTCCCCGAAAATGTTTTGTTTCAAGTGTAAATAAAACCAACTTTAAGATTAACAAATATTTTTATTTCTTGCTTTTGAAGTTCGTATACCATGCTGTGTTGTAGCCTACAGAGTGCATACTTCTTCTCGTGATTCTTAGATGCGCACGTTTCCTGACGTCACGACAGTAAAAATTGCAACTTTAAACATCCCTTATGTGACATTAGTTTAGTGTCTACAGACTAACTGACAGACAACATTTTCAGGAAAATAACCGAACATGATAATATTCAGATGTCTTAGTTCTCAATATTGCAACCTATTCAAGACTCAAAGTTATCAATTTCACTTTTATGAAACCAAACCTATTCGTATGGTTGGTTTGTAAGATTTGCACTCAAGCCAAAAGAACACCAAAGTTTTGGTTTATTGTTCTTATGTAAGTGCAGAAGAATTTTAAGAGCTAAAGTTATCTGAACATAAGAAGCGTTATTGTGTAGTATCATTAGGAGGTTTCTTGCTTATAAAGGATATGATGAATGAGAACATCTACTTTAAGTGGAATGGTCTGATGAAAGATTCCCTCTTTTTTTAAGGCCATTTTAGTTAACTGTTTTTCTTCGTTTGCTTTTTCAAATGAAACAAAATTAACAGATTGTATATTTGGGTTTAAGGATATTCTCCAGCTCAAATAAATGAGTTTGGAGCTAAATCACTGGAGAGAATAAAATGTCCTATTAGCTGAAACCATAACATGGTCTCATATTACAAATTAAATGGAGATAAAGAATAATTTTCTTCAAACGTTAATTAGGGGAATTAGGTGCCTTTAATGAGGGTATATCCCGATGCATGTAGTTTCAAGTACTATTTTTTGGTGTTATTGCCTCGTAAATTTTAGTGGATAACTAAATATCCCTGACAAACATATCGTATCCTAATGAGCTGTCCATTTGCCTTTTCGTGATTTTCTAGATGTCATCTCCGAATTCTAATGTGGTATTTGTTATTATATTACAAGCAGTTTTTGATAGTATTGTGTTTTTGTTTGCTTGTTTGTTTTGAATTTCGCGCAAAGCTACACGAGGACTATCTGCGTTAGCCGTCCCTAGTTTAGCAGTGTAAGACTAGAGAGAAGGCAGCTAGTCATCACCGCTCACCGCCAACTCTTGGGCTACTCTTTTATCAACGCATTGTGGGATTGATCGTACATTATAACGTCCCTACGGCTGAAAGGGCGAGCATGTTTCGTGGAATGGGATGTTTTTAACTAAGATATCAGCAACGCATGTTATAACATTCTTTATCAGTTTAATGACCAATATGTTCATGTCAGTGAAACAATTTTATCAAGCAGTAAACTAAAGTTTTATATTTGAACTTGTATCTGTTATTGGAAAGTGTAATTCTCTTCAAAAGACTAGGTTTTAATAGGTCAGTGTTAAAAGGACGAAAAAAATGACATGAAATAAAACTGATTATATGACTAGTTGTCTTATAAGCCATGATTAAGAAGTGTACGAATGATTATTTCTTATGTATGTGATGATTTTAAAGTTGTCAGATGATTAGTGCTTATGTATGCCATGATTTGGAAATTATTAATGAATTAGATATTATGCATACCATGACTGACAAGTGACTGAATGATTACTTTTTACGTGTGCCATGATTTGAAATTGATTGCATGAGTAGTTTTTACGTTAGTTTGTTTTAATTCCACATCAGGCAATTTTAACTAACATCTGTTGTAATACACTAAACTATTAGAACCCGTATTATAAACCACTCTATATATTCAGACTTTATCTCCTGGGTTAAATGTATCGAAACATTAACAAATTATTTCTATCTTAAAAACAAACAAACTCATAACACAAGGAGTAAAAACTAGGTTTAGTTGTGACTATAAATAGTAATATAGCTTACACCCTTCTGTTGTAATATTCTATCTTTCATGCATTATCTTCAGCTCTAATATGAAAGATAGCGTCACTTGTCATAATAAAAATGTAGAAAAATGCTATTCCGTGATTACAAAAGAGTGTACCCTAAGATACATCACTTTCTTATTAATAGATTGTGACTGGTCACGATTTTAAATCATTCTTTTTTAGAAATTCGTTTAGACAAATAATGTGAGCATTTTTCTTTAAGTCAGAGCAAAATGAAACAACGTAATTAAATATTTATTTTCTTTATTTTCACAGACAGCTGCAAAATAATGGAATCACCGCCATTGAGCGTGGAGCGTTTCGAGATGCCGTTTCACTAGAACGTCTGTAAGTAACCTTCAATTTAAATAAGATTTATTTCATAAAAGCAAAAGAGATTTTGCTTACGTTATTTTTTAGAAGTTGAAGATCGATTGCCGTTAACAAGACATTTAATGAGTACCACATATATTGCAATTAGATTAGAGATGCAGCCTTCTCGTGTGTCAATGGTAAAGCTTGGTTTATGTACCTCTATTCTAGCAGCCTTGTTGGCAAGAAATGTTATCATAGCAGTCAGGCAGACCGCTTTCGTGGATCGATGTGATTAATAGACAGTTCGTCTGCTGTTTAAATCAACCTCCAATAGTTCGTATTCTCATATGAACCATTGTCTTATTAAAGATTGGAGAATAAGGGTAGCCAAGTTTATAAACCTGGTCTTTATATTTGCTCTTCTTTTGTTAGTTTCCTGTGTGAATCGCGTCACTATCACTAAATTTATACACACGAGCACGCGTGTAGAGTTACAGGTTTCTATATATGTCTGATGAACGAAGCAATGTTGAACAATGCACTGCTACAAATAAAGGTGATAAAGCGTGGTTATCGTTTCGCTAAGAATAGAGAAGTTTAAGTTGTTACTCCGCACAACAGGTCTGCTTTGTCTGTTTGATAGAATATTTTTGAACATCTTTTCTTAACAAGTTTCCTTTTGGAGTTGGATCGAATATGACAGAAGGTCCAAGTGTAACAGTAGGTCAAATTTAAGATTGTTTCTATATCACCAGAAGTCAAAGTAATAAGGAGATTCAAATTCCTCTTCATTGAAGGGTTGGGGATATGAGGTCTTTAGTTATCACATGGCCTTGCTAAGGAGAAAGGTACATGAAGGTTATCAGAATTACAGTTCACGCGACCTTGGATATTAAAGATGAAGGTCACTTGGAGAGAATGAGGATTCTACTTATCACATGACCTTGAACATCAAGGATGAAGGTCACTTGGAGAGATATGAGGATTCTACTTATCACATGACCTTGAACATCAAGGATGAAGGTCATTCTAAGGAATATGAGACTGTAATTATCATATGGCCTTGAATGTTAAAAACACAGGTCACTTGTAGTTCAATAGTTCACCCTCATTTCCTTTGCAAGTGAAAAGCTAATACAGTTTTAGAGTTTAGTGCTGAATGGCATGGTTTTGTGGGAAGAGATAAAATAGTATAATTTTATTAAATATTTGTTTTTCTGAACTGTAATAATGAAGCAAAGTTTCAGAAAATTCATGTTTTTCTGGGAACTAACTGAATGCGATGGCTATAGTATATCTCTGTTTATAACAAGATATTAATAGAATAGTTTCTTTAAATTCCTTTTTTATGAAAGATTCAGAATGACATTGTTTCAGAACATTTATGGGACGGTAGTGTATATAATTTAAAATAAAATCTATTTTTTATGGAAATATTCAGTACCTTAAATAGTTCCAGTAAATCTTCATTTTTTGTGGGAAAGTATTATGTAACATAATCATAATTTCCTTGGATCTTGATTTTTGAGGACACTGTCAACATTTTGTGAATCATTTAACGAGCAAGTATAGCACAGTTTCAGCATGTCCACATTTCAGGAAAGAACCGTAGAGAAACTTATGAATATTTCATTTAAAAAAACACAGACTGTACTATGCAAGCCAACCAGTAAGATATCTGGTCACTACAAGTTACTAAAAAAATAGTTAATTTACATTTAGGTTGTTTCTATTTGCCCGTATCAGAACTGAAAATCACTAAAAGAAATTATTGAAGTCAAGAATTCGATAAATTGATGACAAAAGTTTTTAAAACTACAAAATTTACGAACGTTCAGCTATGTTACATTTGCTGTAGACCAAATTTGGCATTGAAAAATACGCTATCATGATATTCCTAAGTTTCCACTCTTAATATGATTTACCGAAGTAATGTTTATGTCTCCTGAATGACCTTTCGTTCATGATAACTTGATTTTGTTATCATTAACCTCGAATGGACAGGTGTTTAAAAATCATGGTGATCGCGACTTTTGCAACACCCTGTAATTAATCTTCATCTACATTTGTGATCCTGCGTCAATTTCAAGTGCTATGGTTTTATTATGCTCAGTATTCTATTTTCCTCTTTCTCATGCAAAATCTTTTACACTTCAGTCTTTTGTAACTGTATATTAGCTCATTATTTTTAACTTAAGCATTGTGGTATTAGTAGTTTTATTTGATGGCGCAGCTATATAACAGTCGCGCTTATTAACTGGAATCAGTCGTGTAGAAACTAGAGCCGTCATTAAGAGAGTGGTAAGTTAGTGGTACATAAACTAGTTGATGGATGAAGTTTTCCCACTGCACCATCTATTATCTATCCTCTCAGTTCAGTGTATACAACACACTAGGATGGTGTAATATTGATAGACCGTGAAATGAAAGAAGAATCACTAGAGGAGAAAGAGAGAGAGTTTACGTAGTCGCACTTTGTTCAAAACTCTTCGCGTGATTTCCCCAGAGTTATAATTTTATTATAATTTGTAGTTTTCTGGAAAAGTTCGGTCTCCTTCACACTGGGTAAAAACGAAATAAGAGAAAGCGAAAACTCTGGGCGTGTGGAATCGTACATTTCCCGTGGTACTTTGTTCTTCGTTTCAACAAATCTCCTTTTAATGAAATTGCAAGAAACATAGTCCACGTGTAGTGGTTCCCTCGAGTACAGGGAGTAGAGAAACCTCATTGTAGGGTAATTCGTCACTGTTGTGGCAACGGCAAAGACAGTTATAGAAGGTATTCCCCCAGTGCTTACTCGTTTAGTTGAGCTAAATCAAACCAGCCAAAATCGTTTTCCTTTATATATCTGGTTAGGATGGAGAGAGACCAAGCAGGTTGGATCGTCGTTACACTCATCATTTTCAGAACTACGAGACATGTAAGTCTACAAGGTTGGCCAAAAGTCACGCTCTGTTTTTTGTTTCTATTTATACACTTTGTAGTAGCCTATATAACATGAAAGAACACAAAAACGTGAATAAAACAAGATAAAGAAGGTTTCTCATCACAACTTGTTTGACATTAACTACTCGGACCTCCAACAATCAATTTAATTGTTTTCACCAGTTCGTACAATACATTCATATGGTCACTTGTGTACTGTTTCTTTCAGATTTAACGACGGATGGTTCAAAGAACAATGGTACGTTTACACATTCACACACAAAAGAAAAAAACTCGTGTAAATAAATACACTAACATGTATTTCAATACATGTTATACAGAAATATAAATGTGACATTACTACAGTGCCAAGAGTCAGTTATTACTGTTTTCACAATTTTTTCAGTTTTATTAGTTTTCTTTATGATAAAACAGTACTTTTGAGTAAAATCACCTTAACCTCTGTTTTAAATTTCAGTTTCAGTGTAAAACAAGTCTTTTGTATTGCTTTCCAAATCGTTTTTCTACAAAGTCTTTAGATTATGTTGCTTCGAAACTTTGACAGTTTTTACGTTTAACATAACCAAGTTCGTGATTAATACAGATTTACTATTCTGAAAATAGTTCGATGTAACAGCTATAAAAAACTGCTACTCAAGTGTTTTATAACGGTTGTTTTAACATGCCACGATGTTATGTCTAGAGCACCGAGTAAATGGGGCGTGCTCTTTCATATATCGTTTGGAAATTTGCCATAGCCCTGAGGGGGAACTTTGGGGCTCTTCTTCTCTGTAAATGTTAATAACTCGTGCCTTTGTTAATTGTTATTTCTATCAAACACACTGATAACAATGTCTAAAAAAAGATTCACAGAAAAATGTTTGCCACATAGGAAATACAAAGGTTATCATAGAAGATACGCTTCATATGGAAAGTCTAAAAGTATTGTATTGAAATAGTGTATTCTGAAGGACTTAATAAAAATGTCTGCGGACTTTCAATGCTAGAAACCGAGTTTCGATACCCGTGGAGGGCAGAGCAAAGATAGCCCATTGTGTAGTTTGGTGCTTAATTAAAAACAAAGGGTTATTGGTACTTTATAAGCATGAGTGACACACTTAGAAATTATACATATTTTGTTCACAGCGAATTTCTGATCATTCCAGAGTGCTATGCACCACGGTTAATTATGACTCGAGCATATTTTTTCATAATCCTTTCCGAGGAATAGTATTTCTATTGCGAATTGTTAAATGATGTACAAACAAAGGTACCTTTATTTTTCTCCGTGGTAATAGGAAAGTAACAAAGCGTTTAGGACAGAAGTGAGCTCTGAAACTATATCCCAAGTGTATCAGCAGCAACACCTTCATCCTTAAGTGAACTCTATGACTACGAAAGAGGACCTTTTAACCCCAAAAAAGCTGTTGCGATGAAGCTGCGAATGCTTCTTGATACCTTTAATATGAAATAAATCGAGATTTTAAATTGAAGACGATTCATAAGCCTAAAGTTAGCGAGGTTCCAGCCACATCTCAAAATCACTAACTATTTTTATAAGAAAGATGACCGAAAGAACTGGAATTTCAGCAATCCCATTCGACCACATGGCCGTTAAATCCCTCGATATAGCTTCAATGTACTTTTATGCCTTTGGTCTACTTGAGCGTCGTCGTATAAACCGAGTACAGATAATAAAGTGTTTGAAAATTTTGTTAAGATGTGTTATTTAAGAATGACTTTGTCAACCTTCGCAGAATCTTGTTGCAATGGAAATTAGTGTCGAACAAAAGTAGGTAATAAATGGCCATCGGAATTAACATGATTGGTGATGAAGGAAGTATGTTTTTATAAATTAATATTAACTTCTAGTTAAAACAAGCTATCTATTAAGAGCGAAACTAACACTTGACCTGGTAATGAGTATAGCTAATTGAATATACGTTTCTTAAGTTATAACTTATAAAGAGTTGAATGGATTGTGTCATCAATTCGGTAGCCGTGCTTTAATGATATTTTCAATCGTAATACCAATAATATATTACTGAGTTTGATCAGCTTAGGAGGTTTAGGCTAGTCCTAAATACGTATACGAAGCAAACAATGCA